ACTATAACGAAAACTGGAGTTTTGCCAGTTAAAATTATTATATAATGAAGATGGCATTAGAAACAGAGAAATAATCATGATTTGTGCCTCTCTGAGTAAGCTTAGTGTTCCCAGCTGGACTCTGGGATAAAAGTTTTTCTGCATCTAGACAATTCAATATATTGGGACTACGTTCCAGATATTTATCTAATGTTCTTGTTAAATCAAAGTGTAATCCAAAATGAATCCAGCACATTATTAGTCTATCAAAGTTATGGCTAAAAATCGTTTAGATTTTCAAAGAACTAATTAAGTGTTAATAAAGAAAAGAATCCCCTTTTCTTTAAAGCTCTTCCCAAAATATCAATTATGTGCCTATGGTTTAACAAACACCTTTCTATAAGGTATGTGATTTTAGTATTAGATCAATGATTTCAAAGCAAACACACTGACAATGAATTAATAAGACTGTGCTGCCTGTTTTAACATTGCCTATTTTTAGTCTAGAATTTAAAGACGAATAGCAGAAATGGATTCTGAAGAGCTGTATAAAAACCTAATATGATTATCACTGACGCTACATTCAGGTCAGATATTAACAGACAGTCATTTTTAAAAGTTCTGGTCATTTGATCACATGACCAATAATGACCTCAGTTTCACTTGGCACGTTTCAGGCTACAGAACCTACACTGTAAAAGGGAAGGTTATAAGAACATAACACAAAAACAATCACATAGGATCAAACCAATAGGCCAAGGGGACCAATAGCCTATCTTCTCAGAGTGGCCAGTACCAGCTGATTCAGAAGAAATCATCTGAACATAGCAGCTACCAAGTGATCAATCCCCTGTCATCTACTCCCAGTTTGATAGTCAGAGGTCTAATGGCAAGACCCACACAAGATTTTTCTCAAAGAAATTATCCAGTCCTTGCCAGATTAGCATTCCTCATAAAGATGTCACTTATGTGGCAGTACTAGGGGAAATATAGTCAGAGATTTCTTTACTTTCACAACATTTGTGTAAGTCAAGAGCTTGTTTCAATATAGAAACCCTTTTGTTCAACAAGAGGAATACAACATGAATGAAGAGTAATCCCATAATGACTACTGACATTTATAGTTCTAGCTATCAGCATGAATAAGGCTGATGGAACAGATTAATGCCCTTCTCCACTTCACTCCCCAGGGTTAAGAAATTCTTAATTCTTTCCAATAGCACTGCAGACAGGTTTAAGGAGAGGTTTTCAATGGCACAAAAGGCAGTTGGACATCCAACTCTCAGTGAAAGCCACAGGGATTTGGGTTCCTAATTCTCCTTTGTGCTTTAAAAATATGTCCCATAAAAATGAATCTGTTTCAAGAGATGAGAAATGACAACCTATAACTAATTTTGGGTAGTCCTTTTTGTGTAAGAGGGATATTACTCGTTTGCCTCCATAGAATCCATTATGCTATTACTGTAATAATGCCAGCAACTTTCTGCACTGATTGAAGGCTTTCCCCCTCTCACAAGCCAATAAAGTAAAGATCTATTGAATCCCATATTAGAAATATATATTTCTCAAAAGGAAAATCAGATGATGAAGCTGTCAGATTACAAAAAATCTGCAATACAGATGACAAGTAAAATGTACACAAAGACTGACAAAAGTAGTGCATCAAATGTCACACAACTGTCTCTTCAGAGCTGACTTCACAATTCATGGGCCTCATCCAGAAAGGTGCTGAAATAAAAAGTACCTGCCCAGCAGAACAACTCTGAAGATGACGTTGGAGGAAAAAAAACAATAAAACAACCCTACAACTTTCTTGAACCAACAGTATGCTGTATCTAGTCATGGTTACTTTGTCAAGTTTTTAAAAATTGTTTAAAAAACCCCTCTAACTTGAGCCCAATTCTACATTATTTTTGCAACACAAGTGGCACTTAGCCGAACCTACCCAGCCACATGACTTCAATGTAACCATTAACTCCCCCCAAAAATTGCACTGTATAAGGTATGGTGCTGCTTTTGACAGTGGAAGAAACAAATACTTGGAAAACAGACTGATGAGTATTTATCATTTCTTATCTGCCACTTTTTGAAAGGTTTCATGCAGGATACAAACAAGCATATGCAATGTATTTGACATGGTATGAGAACACCTGAAAATTAAAAAAATATCTTCACCCTTGTCACCGAGTGTTCCCAAGTCTCGGGCGGCCACCCCTAGTTCGGGTGTCCTCCCTGAGTTTCGTGCTCGACCGCCTGCTCGCGGTCTGCTGTCGGTCCGCGCTCCGACGGGCCTGAGGGGGCCGGGAAGGGGGCTCGGGCCCTCCCACACTCCGAGCCCCGACCCAGGGCCCTAAGACAGGGACGGTAGTCCCTGGATAGTGGAGGGGGACGAGTTTCCCCCAAACCCTCCACTCGCGGGGACCGCGGCCCCGCCCTGGGTCTCTTCTTCCCGGCTCAGCCCCGGAGATTTCCCCAACTGGGGAATAGGCTTACCCTTGGTCTCTGGCCCTGCCGAGAATTTCCGCCTCTGGGTTCCCCTGGGTCCTCTTGTCCTCCTGTGGGACTGTCCGTCTCCTCGCTCTTCCTCCCCTCCGGGCTGGGGCTCTCGCCCTTTTGAATCCCCCGCCGGAGCCGTAAGGTGGGTCCGCCCCTGACGTCCGCGGCCCCGCCCTCCGGAACGTCCTCCATGACACTCCCCGTGACGTCATCCGGCTGTGCCGGAGCGTCCCTGCGGTCGCCGGTCTCTTTTCCCCCTGCTCGGCCTCCCGGGTCTTTCTCCCCCGGACCTCCCCCGGTCGCCCGTTCCCCCGGCCGGCAATTCTCTGTCCCGAACCCCGGCCCCGGGTGCAGCGTTGCGAGGACGGCACCTGCTTCGCCCCCCCCGGTTCCTAACTCAGTGTGGGGGAGCGCGAATGCGGCGCTTGCCCCGTCACAAACATGAAGACTGACAACTCAGACTGCACTATAATCTCTGTGCATCCATCACCTTCTTCTTTCCAGTGTCTTTTTCTGGTTACAAGCATTACACTACTGTGGGTAAAGACTATGTGAGTATTCTGGTAGAGCTGAGGAAACACATAATATCAAGGGTGAGCTGATTATGGCTGCCTGGCAAAACGTAGTGATCAAGGCCCTTCAAAAAAATCTAAAAGCAGCCTCACACAACAAATGAAAACCCCAATTCTCAACACACACTGACAACCCAGAACAGATGCAGGTAAGTGACACTAAACTACTTTTAAGGCATCAGCCCTTCCTGATCTGAGAGCCATTTTTTGTGAGTCAGCAGATATTTCAGAGCAAAAAAGATGTGCCTTTCACTCTAATCAGATTAATTTAATTTAAATTCCACATAGGTACTGTTTATCACCTTTAACGGTATTTGAGCTGGCTGTGTTAGGTCTGTGCTGACAATCTTAAAGGTATTAAACTATGCTTATGTGGGCACACGGGGTTCTCAGCTGAGTTAACCAATGGTTTTTTCACATTGAGAAAGTTGCACCTGCTTAAATTAAATATGGTATATTAAGTGCTTTTTAAATTATGTCTACAATGAAAAACTACAGCAATCACCAGCACTTCAGTGTTTCTCCATGGGAGACAGTTGCTAGTTTGACAAAAGCAAATGTGTAAATCAGTTATTATAGTTACATTTCTTAATGTCAGTGTAAGTAGACCCACCCTTTGTTCAAGTGGAACAAAAGGCTATATGGCCACTGTGATCTGGGCATAAACCAAGTTGATTAGGAATGTATTAAAGCTAAGCAAAATTAAGTGTGTCCACACAGGTTTCCACTGTTTTAACTTAAATTGGTTTAATATCAATGTTAAACTGCGGCAACCTTCTTTGTTTAGATAAGGCTTAACTCAACTGAAACACTTGTTTCTGCCCATGAAGATTGATACACAAGACTCTTATTGACTATGAACCAGAAGAGCTAATATTCGTTTATATGCCTGCATATTCTGCCTGTCTGCATCATCGTTCTACCCTATTAGCTCTTTACATATATGTTATCTTGCAATGTTGATAAATGCTACAAAATCAAAGCCAAACTGACTAGCTTAATTTTAGGCCTAGCTGCCTTAATGGGGGTCTCTCTAAATAGTTAATATGCCACTAGCAATACCCAATGGGTATATTAATGATTTGAACTTTGTTCACAGTGTTTTCAGTAAATAATAATAAAAAAAGGCCCTGGTATTCAAAAGGATTAGTAACTTGAGTATATGAGAAACAAGACAAAAGTCACAAATCACTACGGTCTTAATGCCAGAACACCTGCTGGCAGGCTTTTTTCCTGAAATTCTCATTAATCTTACCTTCTAAAAGGAAGTGAGAAAGGACTTGTTGAAAATTTCAATGTCGGAGAGATTGAACAATATTTAGAAACATCTTTTATGTTATTATTGAGGACATTTTAAGATTAAAACTACCCATCTGGTCAGATTTAGACAGTACTCCTGAGGGGGATCTAAATGCATCAGAATTGGTAGGGTTTCGTTTAGAGAGATCTTGGTAGGCTTTAGGGAGAGCTCTACAATGAGATGTCTATGATAATGCAGAGAACCACTTTGAGAAGGGACTAACCCTAGCAGTTCATTAGAGAGGAGGAGATGGGTAATAGATATAGTCCTAAGGCTACAGTAGCAACCACAACATAGTTCTGCTGCTGCTATGTACACTGAGAGAAGTCTACCTTACAATCTCATGACACATCCAAGTTTGTAAAGGCTAAAAGCAGCATATTAAGAATTAAAGAAACTGTTTGTGTGCTTTAACCACCCGAGACCTATGCATTTTGAGCTCTATACCCCAGGATTTAACCCTGAAGTAATAAAAATAAACAAATACCCCAGTGAATCAGGAATTGAGGCTGGAAGTCACTGTATATAGTGGAAATACAGAAGGCAGACAGTGAATTAAAATTAATTAGAAAGAATGCCCTGGCCCTAAGGACAAAGCAAGAGTAAGAGTTTTATTAATATGAGTTTTACAAAATATTTAAAAAAATTTATACCTTTTCTGCTATGCCATTTTCTGTGGTGTAGATTGCCATCAGCTCCGTATCCTCTGTGTCCTGATCCCCACTTGATGTTGCTCCACCGTTTATGACTACCTACAAAAAATCCACATACAGCAGTCACTTAACTCACTACAAAGTTTGTGTGTCCCTAATTTGATGTCAATTATCACTAAAAACATTCTGAATAAGCAAGAGTTTAGTGATTCATCACCCACAGAATAAAGGTCTCAAGTTGCCAGCACAGCAGCATATACAGTTATACTTCATTCTTTCAGAAATAAAAGGCAATACTGGTAGAACATAAAAAGGTTACTTTGTACATTTAAGAGTAAGCTACAGCACATAGAAAATGTCCTTGAAGCTAACCTGAACACAAGTTAACAGTATACAATACTATCATCAGGGCTCGCTGAGTGGCGGCGAGCCCCGTTCGCCAATCGTGCGGTTCTGCGCCCTGCGCATGCACAGATCACTCTGCGCTGGCTCTTCCGGGGTGTAATCTACTCGCCATGGGCGAGTAGATTACATTGTTTGTCGAGCCCTGACTATCATACTGTTTCAACCTACATCACCTGGAAGTCTACTATATATTTGTGAGTTTTTCCGTTTGCTCAAAAACTCCCCCTAAAGGAGTGGTAGGACCAGCAAATTTGGTAGGCAGCTTCCTCATAACTTAAAGCACAGTAAGGATTTGGTTGTGCCAGGAAAACGAGATGTGGTTAAAATGGGACTGCTTCTTATAAAACCATACAGAAAAGAGACTCAATCACCAGGCTGGTGAAAGGGGCTGGCTGTAGGCACCTCCACACCCTGTAAGGGAGTGCCTCAGCCCCAAGCCTCCCCTCCTCTTTAGGGAGAGCAGGGGGGCTGAAGATCTGCCCCCTCCAATTTGTATGGGAATACTGCTAGCTGTTCCCCCATGGGAAAGTGCACAATTTGCTGCACTCCTCATGCACAGGGGAGCACAAGAGGCAGATGAACTTGGACCTTTCCCTGTTAGGGACATGCAGCTCTCCCTCCGCTGGCTGCGTCAGCATTGGAGCTGCAGCAGCCATGGACAGGAGCTTCTCACCTGGCCCTAAACTGCTGTGCAGTAAGAGAGCTGGGGTAGTCCTCTCATCCTGGGGCAGCCTGCATTCTGAACCCCTCATCTCCAGCCCCACCATTTTATTTTCCTGAAAACAAAATGTAATTGAGTTAAGAACACAAGCAACGCCGGGAAAATCTTTTAGTACTGAATATACAAATGACAGCCCTAGGGCCATGCTTTTCCCTTTTAACATCTTTTTGTCACAGCACCCATTTACCAGGAGACATTGACTGTATTCTATTATTCTAAACTTGGGTGTCCGTTTTTCATAGAATCATAGAATAATAGGACTGGAAGGGACCTCAAGAGGCATCGAGTCCAGGCCCCCGCCCTCAAGGCAGGACCAAGCTCCACCTACACCATCCCTGACAGATGTCTATCTAACCTGTTCTTAAATATCTCCAGAGAGGGAGATTCCACCACCTCCCTTGGCAATTTATTCCAATATTTGACCACCCTGACAGTTAGGAATTTTTCCTAATGTCCAATCTAAACCTCCCCTGCTGCATTTTAAGCCCATTACTCCTTGTCCTGTCCTCAGAAACCAAGAGGAACAAATTTTCTCCTTCCTCCTTGTGACACCCTTTTAGATATTTGAAAACCGCTATCATGTCCCCCCTTAATCTTCTTTTTTCCAAACTAAACAAGCCCAGTTCATGAAGCCTGGCTTCATAGGTCATGTTCTCTAAACCTTTAATCATTCTTGTCGCTCTTCTCTGTACCCTTTCCAATTTCTCCACATCTTTCTTGAAATGTGGCGCCCAGAACTGGACACAGTACTCCAGCTGAGGCCTAACTAGTGCAGAGCAGAGCGGCAGAATGACTTCACGAGTTTTGCTTACAACACACCTGTTGATACAACCTAGAATCATATTTGCTTTTTTTGCAACAGCATCACACTGTTGACTCATATTCAACTTGTGGTCCACTATGACCCCTAGATCCCTTTCCGCCATGCTCCTTCCTAGACAGTCGCTTCCCATCTTGTATGTATGGAACTGATTGTTCCTTCCTAAGTGGAGCACGTTGCATTTCTCTTTATTAAACCTCATCCTGTTTACCTCTGACCATTTCTCTAACTTGCTACGGTCATTTTGAATTATGTCCCTATCCTCCAAAGAAGTCGCAACCCCACCCAGTTTGGTATCATCCGCAAACTTAATAAGCGTACTCTCTATCCCAATATCTACATCATTGATGAAGATATTGAACAGTACGGGTCCCAAAACAGACCCTTGAGGAACTCCACTTGTTATCCCTTTCCAGCAGGATTTAGAACTGTTAACAACAGCTCTCTGACTACGGTTATCCAGCCAATTATGCACCCACCTTATCGTGGCCCTATCTAAGTTATATTTGCCTAGTTTATCAATAAGAATATCATGCGAGACCGTATCAAATGCCTTACTAAAGTCTAGGTATATGACATCCACCGCTTCTCCCTTATCCACAAGGGAGTTATTATTTGTTATTAGGAGTTCTGTTTCCATTTTTCCTATACAGGCAGTCCCTGGGTTACATGGATCCGACTTACATCGGATCCCTACTTACAAACGGGGTGAGGCAACCCCGCACTAGCTGCTTCCCCCCAGCAGACCAGGGAGACGCAAAGCTAGCGCTCCTTCCCCCCCCAGCAGAACAGGGAGATGCGGAGCGGCTTTTCTCAGCAGACACCTCAGCTTGAGAATAAAGGACTGAGGGAAGTGAGGTGTGGGAGAATAAAACTGAGCTCTGGAGAAATGTTTGGCTAGAGTTTCCCCTACAATATGTACCAGTTCCGACTTACATACAAATTCAACTAAAATGGCAACTCTTTTGGTATCTAATTTGAAAAGGATATCAAGCCTATTCATGTGCAATTCAAGAATAACTGAAGTGATTTTGTTGACCAGAGCTCACAGTTATCAAATATTCACAGCTAGTATCAGGAGCAGAAAACAGCAAGTGACAAGTGATTAGGAGTTAATTCACACTGATGCCATTAGAAGTATTAGCTGCTCATATTGAATGTATTGGGCATAAGGTCTCAAACTGACAATTGCAAGCAATATTGGTTGTAGCCATGTTGGTCTCAGGATATTAGAGAGCTATCACTGTCTCCCCGTTCATGATGCCCTAAATTCCAAGTAAGCCATTTTACATTAGAAACACTACAAAAATGAAGTTCTGGGCACATTTACTTCAAGGCACTAAATTTAATGGGGCCAGGATTTCACCCCAGAAGGGTGAGCATTTCAGTTAGAAAACATACAGAATCTGCATGAAATGTAGATCTCTCCTATACCAAGTATGATGAAAGACACATTTCTCTGGGCAACCTTGTCCTAATATAATATAAGAAACAGTGTATTACTGTTTACAAAAACAGTCTATTGGACAGGAAAAATGAAAGGGAATACACCAAAAATTGCTGTAGAAGAAACACTGTGCAAGAAACACTGCACAAAAAGTATTATGACCAGGTCAGAACAGAAGGCTATAAAAAAGAAGTCCTATTGGATTCCAGGAGTTGAGTGGGCTAATGCCCACCCACATCTAAAGGACCTCCCTCCAGACTACCACAGAGCCCAGAACACCAAATGATGATTGGGGACAAACAAAAAGAAAACAGGGACAGGTGTGGAGGTCATAGGGTTAAAATGAGGGAACTGGATGGGAACACCGAGTAGAGAACCCCGGACAGTGCCAACTGCCCCTCGAAGATCTCGACAGAGCAAGCGGACACCGCCCAGTGGAACTCTGCCTAGATGTGTGAATGGATACAGGAGCAGAAATAGACCCCACAGTCGCAGACTCTGCTCCTTGGTCTTGTAGACTACCATCTTGGCGATAGCCACGAGAGGGTTGATGAGGAGGAGGTCCCACGACTTTGTGGGGCCACGGATGGGGTGTGCATAAATTAATAGGTGAGGGGAGATGTGCAGCCAGAACTTCAATAAGAGGTTCTGGAGGAGCTAAAGAGGGGTTATAACCTGGTGCACTCGAGATAAATGTGGGCCACAGTCTCCCTCACACCACAGAAGGGATAAGTCTCACGAACAGGGGTGAACTGCGCCAAGTACATGGCTGTGCTCACAGTGCAGTGGAGTAGAGATTGGCCCACTGGGGCTCCCCACCCACTACTGGTGATAAGAGGTCCTGCCACTTGGTATCTGGGCAGAACACGAAGGTGGGCAAGTGAAGAGTGTGAAGCATGAGTGTGTACAGATGACTCTTTGGAGCAGTTCAAAAGGGGTCCAAAAGCAACGCATGCAGCCTACTTGAATGACATGGGGAGGGTGGTTGGGAAGGCACGCAGGGCCAATGGAGAGATCAAGAGGGCATGGGGTGAGGGGCGGGCGGGGTGCACCCTCTCGCAGGATTTTATTGAGATAAACCCAAGCAGTGGGTGGCAAAAGGTCCTTCGCCTTCTGAAGTACGCACAGGGGAGTATGCAGGGTGGAGAGCACCATGCACTGGGCAAGTGCTAGAGGATCCACCCAGTCTCCCTGGTCATAGTCCAGGCTGTCTGCGATCCTGGTGACTTCTGCAAGACTAACATGTGGTGCATCGAGGGGGACTCCACTGCCTACACACAAAGATGGGGATTGTGTAGCAGGGGCTCCGTGAGGAGGTCTGCCTCCACGGTGGCTCCCAAGGACCTGGTCACTGAAAGCAGCTTCCAGGCCTGGAGGAAGTCCTGGTAGAAGGCCGGCACCTCAGAGAGGTCTCATGGAAGACCTCTCAAAGGAGTTGCCAGTCATCAGATCTCTGAAGCAGTGAAGAAAAACGTGCACCCGAGTGCTACCCACCAGACTACCTGCATCATATAGGAGCCTTGCAGGGCTTGGAGACAGAGGACATAGACCCGTGTGCACAGACATGTCAAGCCCTATCCTCCCTCCTCCAGGGGAAGATGAAGAACCACTGCAGAGACTCAATGCAGTCCTGACCAGAAGAATGGCAGCATCATCTGCTGGATGTGGGCCAAGAAACCCAGGGTCGTGACCAGGGTGCTGAGAAG